ATTCCTATTATTCAATATATAATTTATTATAAGGCTGCACAATCGATCTATGTAAAAAAAGTGCAGTTGAGTATAATTATGATTCATAACTGTTACTATTTTTGCGTTATGCTCTATCAGTGCAGAATAACAATTTCACGTTAATAATTTAAAGATACAATTTTACTTGTATTGTTTATAAGAATTTCTCACATTGTTGTCAGATTAAATTTTTGAATAATTTTTAATTCTATGCCGATAATCTTTATTTTATAGTTCATGTTATATGTTCAAGAGTCGCGATCGAAAGGTTTTTAGATTAGACGAATAAGTCCCACCAATAGAGGAGAATAACAGGACGTGAGGGATAATTACTATGAACTATCGATTATTATAGGCCATGAAATTTATAATAGCAGTCTTGTTAGCCATATGATGCTTTTATCTTCTTATATAGACGTCATATATTTATTCTACTGTCCCTCTTTTGCCATTATGACGTTATCTAGTCTTCAACATGACGATAACGTTTGAGTAAGTCATGCGCAGAAAAAAATTGTTTTCCGTTAATAAAAACTACAAGTTCGCCATTTAACTTCGATTGAAAAAATTTTTTTCAATTGCTCTACAATTGCTGTAACGATAGATTATTTCGTTGATAATCGTTAATGTTTACACCCATCGTTGCCAAGATTGTTATCCTGGATGTCTTGCAAGATTAAACTATGTCAACAATAAAACTTCTTTGAAAGGAATATTAGACCTTTGCCTGTTCTTTTCTATTAAATTCAGGTCGATTTTTTCATGTTTAGATATGTTGAAAATCAACACGTTACTCCTATTCTTCTGCGTTTTTCTAATTAATTTATTCGATTGCCATGGTTTAACGTTTAGCAAAAATCAAATTATTAGTCGAAAATCTGGTCATGTTCAGCTGCAAGGTATATTTCCCAATTCGCTTCGTTTCAACCTAACTACTAGATTATGTAGTCAATTTAGTATGACCAATATACAGTTGACTCAAGCCATGATTTACGCTATTGACAAATTGATTAACGATAATCCAAATCTGCTGCCTGGTATTCATGTTGGTTGGACATTAATGGATTCTTGCTCATCACGAGAATTAGCTATTACTGCTCTTACAGCCAATGTCTTCTTGTCAGAACCAGAAGAATTTCCGGAATTGGAATGTGAAATTAATATTGACAACTTAAATAAAACACAAATTACCATTATGGATGGCCTTAACGCCAATAAAACTAATCATCCGCCAACATTTGGAATTTTAGCAGAGAAGTCGGAATTTGTTACTTTATCTACTGCATCATTTACAAGTAGCCTCCGGCTCCCTCAAATTAGTTATTTTTCTTTTAGTTCACTTTTAACGAATCGAAAATTTTATCCCTATTTCTACCGTACTTCTCCTCCACATCATGCTCAAGTTGATGCTTTAATGGATATTGCCACTAAGTTTAATTGGAATTGGGGCTCAGTGGTGGTTGCCGGTAGTGAAACGATCGATATTGTTCTACCGATGCTCCAGAGTATTGGAATTTCCGGCCGAAAAATATGTATTGGAAATATAGCTACTCTTTACGATAATTATACTCAAAATCAACTAGTAAAGGTCATTCACGACTTAAAGATACGGCCTACTTCTCATGTAATCTCCTTAGTAGGTGATGAATCTATTATTTATCACCTTCTTCAGCAAGCTCAAGCGCAACAACTAACAGGTAGAACATTCATTGGCTCGTACGGATGGATAAATTCCCCTCGAATTCGTAAGATAAATGCTGATGTAATCGCAGGCGCAATTGGAATTGATTTGAAAGCCAATACATTAATAGACTTTGCAAAATATATTTATCAACTCGATTTTTGTAACAACTTGGCTAATCCTTGGTTTATGCAAGTATGGCGAGAAACGTTGAAGTCTTTAAACTATAACGTTGATGAAATTATCGCCAACTGTACTTTAGAATTAAAATTAAAAAGTATTTATAGGGATTCATTTTATTCTATTAGTTATATTTCAGCATTTGTAATGGACGCTGCATTAGCTTTTGCCCATGCATTGCATGAATATCTAGGATGCAATGCTACGTATTGTCCTCCAATTCATACGATTGAAAGAATCTCTGAAACATACAATCGTATCCTAAGTAATATTACCTTCAAAGGAATTACCGGTCAACATTTTCGTTTTCGATCCGATGGTAGTAGTAAGTTGTCTTATAACGTTATTAACCTCCAACCAAGAATAATTAACGGTACTACTAGTATTGAGCCTATTATCATTGGTTATTGGAATGATCAAGAAGGTCTAAAAATAAACGATGAGGAAATTGTCTGGAATAGAAATAGACCATGGTTCGAAGTACCTCAATCTAGGTGTTCTATCGATTGCCAACCTGGATTCTACCAAGTTCGCAGCCAAAATATTCTGAATCGTTTATGTTGTTGGACATGCCATCCATGCTTATCACCGACAATATCTAATACAACAAATCAATTTGAATGTATAACATGTCAAAGTTTTACTAAGCCAAATGCTAACAGAACTCAGTGCATTGATTTTGATATTGTTCAATTTAGTTGGAATCATGGATTCGTTATCGTCTATTACATCGTGGCCTCTATTTTTATTATATGCCTCCTATTCTGCTGGGTTATCATTATTTTTAAAAGGAATACTCCAATTATTAAAGCATCTAATTCTATTCTTCTAAGTCTTGTTTTATTCTTTATTTCAGTATCTCTTCCAGCTTCTTTGACTTTTTTCTTGCCAGTTCGTAAAGAAGTTTGTTTAGCAACTGTCTGCTTAGTATGTACTACCGATTGTGGCATCCTGCTAACTGTCATATGTAAAGCCAACCAGATTTCCTTGATATTTAAAAATTCCATCAATCATAATTCCTTTCGATCCAAAGTAGTTAGGAATAAATACCAAGTTATCAGTATTATATTCATTTTACTCCTACTGAATGGCCTCATGATAGGAGTATACTATTATAAGCCAGCAGAATTGCTTAAGCTGCAAGTATCCGGGGCAAACTCGGGGCAAGCTATGGAAGTTATGTGTCGAGTTGGAGGAGAGCCAATTTTTCTAATTGCTACTATTAGTATAGGTATCTTATGTCCAGTTACATTATTCATGGGGTATCGCACACGATCATTACCGGATAATTTTAGTGAGGCAAAGTTCATATTTTTGTCTTCGTTAATGCTTCTTTGTGTATCCTTGACAGGAATACCAGCATTTATAGCTACAACTGGGATTCTACATAGGATTATTGGATCCATAACTACCCTTTTATTTGGTTTAGTTCCTTTAATTTGTCTTTTCGCACCTAAATTTTATATAATATTCCTACAGCCTGAGTTAAATACTCAAGAACAAGCTGTAGTAAGTGTGGCTAACTTTTCTTTTGGAAATAGCAAGCCTGCAGCAAGATCGCCTTTACCGTATAACTCCACTGACAGTTATATGCAAAGTTCTCCCATAGCTATTGGACGTAAGATTCTTTCTCCTCAGACTCCAAATAGGGCAAGCTCATTAGCCGTGAAAGGCATAACTAACCCGGAGTTTATTGAAAATGATGTACTGTAGTAACAACTTTACTAACTTCTTCTATCAAGTTTAATGTTCTAAATTTTACACAAACTTGAAGCATAAATTCAATTTTCGCATTTTGCTGGTATAAAATTGGCATTACACTATTTAGAAGTTTATTTACAAGTTTTACTTAACTAAAGATGAGAATTAAAAGTAGCCAATCATTGTTGGCTGGAAGATTCTATTCTCTCAACTTGATTGACTTAAAAAATTATCAGGGTTAAGTATTTTTTATCTTACTACGAATTTTTGCTGCAACAGATACTATCTACTACAAAATGTCACACCGTACTAGTTCAACAAATGTATAAAGAAATATGTATTATGAAAAAATATTAATTTATTTCTATCTTATAAATATCAAAAATCAAGCTATAACTTCGAAGTGTTAATTTATCACTTTATTCGTAATTTTTCTCGTAACCTGGAATGTAGGAACGATATTTCATTAGCTAGGGATGTCAAATTTCTTCTGATTTATAACAGTCCTGAAATTTACCTCTGCTATATTTTAATATAGAATTAGCATTTATATTACAACATCTTACTTGACTAATTTTAAATTATAAATTAGCATAATAATTTAAAATTACTGATATTAATGCTTTTAAGATGTCACCGGTGTATACGAGCTCTTACGCCTTTTCTGCTTAGGTATGCAAAATTTTAGCCTCAAATAAAACTAAAATTGTTTCTTATTGAAGGACTTATTTTGTTTGAAAATTATTTAAAAATATCTCTAAACTACTATATGTCTTCCCACTGACGAACGTTTAAATTTGTATATTTAAGTTGATCTTATTATCGTTTTGTAGAATAACTTATAATTATTGGAATATTAACTAAAAGAGTAACATGACTACTCAGATTGAAACTCGTACCTAAAATCCAAATACTAAACGTGTCAAAGCACTACCTTGAAAACATAAATATTTAATCCATAATAATAAAGAAATTAAAGATATTGCTCACTCAGAATTAGTTTATTTACTAGTAGTTAAGAAATCTATGAAAGGGTAGTCATGTTGTAAGTATAGAAGCTCTGTATATGGGTACACCAATACTTATTTACCTAACATTACAGCAAATTACGTATTAACTCCACGTAATTTTGATATTAGCTGATGACAGGCATTTCCAAACCCTCCTTTCATATTCAAATCATGCTCACCAACTCTCAATTACTTTGTGTACTAGTATTATATCTTATTACTGAGAATTTTTTCCACAACAATTTGATGTAATTTAAATCTAGAAATTGGTGACATGCACAAGATCACTGAAAGTAGTAATTCAAAAATAGAAGATGATATCAATGTAACAGAATACAGGTATGATCACGTGAATAATCCAATGAATTGATTATAGGGTTGACTTTTGATGTTTAATTCAGTATTCTAATTTAATGATTCAAGTACTATATCCTACAGTCATTTGCCTAACAAATCATTACTGTTATTTATTTCTAGTGCGATCATTATGGTATATTGTCTATTAAATGAGTTACGACTTAATTCTGATATAATCATGCGGAACTGTTTAATTAATAGTAATTTGAAAGAACTTTAAATCGCTCTATAGTATCGGTTTTCTCTCTGGACACGCTATCAAAGCTGCTTTATTATTTGTTTAAGTATCGCATAAGTTCCTAGGTTGCAATAGGACCAACAGTATATATCAGCAAGATCATGTTTCCAATTATCAATAATTTAATGATTTTCTTAGTAACTTACAATTTTCTACATTTATAAATGTAAATATAACTTTCTCATCTGAAGGCTCAGTCAAGTCACTCCTCGTTATAGCTAATTTCCAGAAAGAAAACTACAGTAAATATGCAAACCTTAAAAGAGCTAAAATAGGTTATTGGTATAAATTACAGGGTCTAGTTATTAATAGCGACAAAATTATTTGGAATGGAAAGCGACCACAGAACGATATTTCGATAGTGAGATGATCTATCGATTGTCGTCTTGCATATTATCTATATTACGATTAAAATATTTCACAATCAACGCAATTATGTTGTTTTAAATGTCGAAAATATCCCGTTTACCAGATTTATAACAGTACCAGTTTAAAGTATTACAATTTATGTTCTAGTGTAACTCCATCCAACTCTAATTATACAGAATTTATCGATCTGTAATTAATTTGTTTTAA